AATATGGACAATAAACAATGTTAGTTGACTGACGCATATAATACTAAAGTATCACTCAATACAAATACTGTGACACATTATGTACCCTCTTAGTGCGAAAGTATTTGACCAATGTACCACCATTTCCATAATTAAATATTAAGCAAAAGATAATATGTAAACGTTGCTAAGCTAAAACAAAGTTTTGCAAAGACTTTACAATAATGACGTGTACCTGGCAGAGAGAAGAATTCTTGTATTCAGTTACTACTTTGTTATCAATTAATTTGTATATTTGTTATTAAATTTGTTCCAGCGTCTAAAAAAACGTATGCTACATATAAATTGTTTACTTACGTTCTTCAGGTTTTGTCGTTCTGCCACCCCCTTGTACTGTAAAAAGTCAAAATAGAATACATGGACACCCAACTGATGTTCACTCAGGTTTAATAGACATAGAATTCCCGAATTCTGGCTGTATTTCTATATAGTTTTATGCTAACAAATTTTGGAGTGTCATTTATATCAACTCATTTTATTATATTGTAAAGATACTTGTGATCTTTTTACACTGGTTAGCTTGACTGATAAGTGGCCTGGTATTTAAAACTGACCGATCATGTATAAGAGAACAAATAAGATAACCAATCCGATATAGTACTACTTACAAGACTTAACATTACGTGCTAGCATTGTACCGGCTCTTCCCAAATCATTATGGTCTGTTACTGTAAAGATTGTGTTGGTTGACGAAGCAACATCTTCGAGTTGAGATTTGTCTTCTAAACCAACACCTACAGTATAAATACTTATACCATCTCTCTTAGTCTGGGCAGCCTCCTCTCTTATTCTGCTACCTGGTTGGGTGGAAGCTTCGTCGGTGATGAGAATCAAAGCGTTTGGAACATCTGGTCGATCTCCATTGGCAGCGGTAAACATTTTAGTGCGGACATTTGAGATTGTTCTTGGAAGGTCAAAACCGCGTGTTCGGGTGACTCTTTTTGATAAACGTCCAATAGCTTCAACTATATCAGCAGATGCCGGGTAGCTGTAACAAAATATCACACAGTAATACACGCCACATCATATTCTATTAAGTTTTTAAGTTTTAATTAAACGTTATTATATATTTTGTTAAAAGACTTTTGTCGATAGGCACTCGATTTTGGCAGTACCGGGAGTGGAATATCCTCACCCTAATTGGATGTCGAATCCTTGCGTCCCGTTATAAAGCATTTTATTCGTATATGCCAGCTGTAATTGCAAATAAGTGTGATAGTCAAAAGTAAATTTATTATAGAACGACAGAGTGCATTCAACAGAGAACTGGCCATAAGACCGATGTTCAAAGACGTATTACATTACATTACTATGCTTGCTCCCCGAAATTATACATTAAGTTGTTTCTTTTGCAAATGCATGATACAATGTTTTGTGTTAATTATTGTTTAAATCATCTTTTTCAAACGCATATTCTTTCAATGAATAAATATGCTATTAAAATATTTGAATGTGCATCCAATTTTCTAAAATTTTAAAAGGCATTGGAAAAAATAGGCAAACTTCTTGTTTTCATTCTTTCATTTGTAATACTTACGTGTTAAGTTGGAAGGGAGTGTATGATGCACCAATTGATAGACCAAATCGAACATTACCAGAATCAACATCTGCGCCACTGATTAAGCCCTTGACGTAGTCAATCATACGGGTGTAGTCATCGTCAGATGCCTCTGGCTTTAAATGGAGATGGAATACAATATCCGCAGTTTGACTTGCTTTAAGTTAAAATAGAATACACATAAATCAATAAAACACAAAAATGATACGTTATACATAAATGTAAGAATAGTAAAATAATCTTAAAAAATCTGCATAAAAGGGATAATTTTGAAAGAATACAGAATTGACAGTTTAAATGTTAAGTGAATATCAAAAACAGTTAGATAATATGAACTTCTGAATTAATATGAACGATAGTTTTCCAATCATATGCCCATATTGGCTAAGTCGTCAGATTAGTCCATAATGGCTATCACATTTTGAAGGTACCGAGGGCATTACCAAGACAATAGAACTGATCCTGGGCAATAACCCAAGAAGTATTATAAGAAATAATTAAAATTTGACCAATTCTTCCTACCGCAAACATTAACAAAAATCACGTAGCGGTAATCAGCTGATAAATTTACCTGTTAGAGTTATCGGACTAACGGTGATAAATGTAGTCTGTAAATCGTCCATAAGATTTTTTTTCTATGTTATCAAATGCAATAACCCTGAGTGTAATGGATAGTTTTGATCATTGTGCTATTCCGTGTCATAAATACAAACACTGTGTATCCATTTCAAACCCCCGATAACATAGGCCTTTAGATCGTCCACAAACAATTCTGGATGACGGATCGATGGACAGACAAATAGATGGACAGACATAGGTGACGACAACATACTACCATAATGTGGACATATACAAATGAACACAAACCTGCAAATTTTTGAGCATCACGGTCCACTGAAATAGGTTTAAAATATATAATTGCATGTAATCAACATCGTACTGAATATTCCTTTAACAGAGCGGTGGCTAATAAGATGTAGTTAATAATTGTAATATAGTTTGAATTCAGTCGGTACTTTATTTATTAGTCTTATATAGTTAAAGAATCATAATAATAAAATTAGTGGTGAAATTAAATATATCTGCAAAACCGAACAACTAAATATAAATCTTCCAACTCCTATAAAATGTGACTGTGTTTAGATTTTTATTTAGTTCAACGGTTAGTTCATGTCTATATTCCCCACCCCCCTCAAAAAGGTGTCCAGATGTTGGATGTTAGAGGTACAGGCCATGCTGATCTACCAGTGATTAAATCTTTAACAAAAACTTGGTTCGGGTATCGTATTGGTGTATGTTAGTGTTTGTTAAGATCGGGAATCATTGATAATGACAAGCGTATGTTGGCAACGGATCAGGTACCCGCACAGCTTTATGTGCAAGCTTTATCACTACTTCGCGTGTCTACTGGACATTAGTACGCATGCTTAAACTAGTTATCAATAATAATTTCCTGGAATTTGGAAATTTAAAGGTTGTTGGGGCTAGCTATGTTAACAAATCTTAGATATAGTTTTATTGATGTTAGCTTTCTATGCTTACAAAATTAAACAACGCATCGTACGAATTATAAAGAAATCCGATTGAAATTGTAGTTATCGATACTCATGAGTATTTAACTGATTATCAAAAATACTACCTATTTAAATATAAACACAAGTTTGTATAAAATGTTAAATGTACGAATGACAACAGTAGCCTTAGGAGTATTTGCAAGCCCTATGGGCGACGGAAGATGCGATAAAATATGACCACATCAATATGTGGGGATGAAAAAAAGTAACCATTCCCCTAACTGGGTGTGTAAATTAAATGTGTCAGTAAATGTGATTGTTATTTCTTCCATTTTACATTTTCAAGGAAAGGCATTCCCTTTGGGGGGGGGGGGGAATCATGTGGCTAAGTGGGTAAGACGCTAGCTCGCTAGCCTGGAGGTCGGGTGTTCGATCCCTGCATTGGCCGAGAAAGTTCATCCAGATTTTCCGGCGTGGTTCTCCCTTGTCAGTGATGCAGGACGGAGGGGCTGACAAGGAAAGCTGTCTAGTCGTTCGGATGGGACGAAAAACCGAGGTCCCGTGTACACATTGGCGTGCACGTAAAAGATCCCTTGGCAGTTGGAATTCGATATAAGAGTAGGCCGTAGTGCCGCTGTCCGGGCAAAATTTCCCTCATAGCACACTGTATGGCGTATGCCCGTCTTCATTAGCCCAGGTTAGGAGCAGAACAGTAGGACGTTAAACTCCATTTCATTTCATTTCATTCCCTTTGGGAATTTTCATCTTACTGTAGTGCACTAAATTATGTACTAGGGGTAAATTAAGAAATAATAACGTTTGAAATTCGATTTATCTTCTCAAAGTGTCATTATGGAGATGCTGGAATTATGTATCATATTCAAGTGATGTCGCCCCTTCGTATTAAAATATCCTGACCAAGCCTGTAAATGATTAGCTGATAAAAATTTGGATAGCATATTGAAAATTGACCGAAAATCATACTGATGGGATATTTTTTCAAGTTTTCAATGCTTCAAGATGTGCATTTCAATTAAAATCGATCCACTGTGATGCATGTGCATCATAATGTTATGCTGATGATTATTATTAATATCTTTTATTATTATTATTATTATTGATATCTCTTTCAATTGCTTCTACAATTAAATGTCCGGAAAGTGTAATCATGATCCTCAAATTAGGTCAGTCATGGTATAAACAATAGCAGAAGAATGTATATATCTTAACCTTGTGTCACGTTTATTCAGTGCTTTACAGTAGCCGAGGGGACGACATCTTGTTATTTCCTATTCTTGTTTTGTTATTATATCTAAAACGCATGCAATAAAAAGCTCTGAAAATTTAACCTGAAGGTAGGCTTGGACGTGGTGCTTCTGTCACAGCAGGCGGAGTATATTTGCTTACTGTTAAAAAACGATTATCATGATAACTGTTACATTCAATAAAATTAATGGCGACCATAAAACACAAATCTCTACTTATGGCATGACGATTTTCAAAAAAAAAAGATTTTATTATTTATTAAAGTAATATATTTAAGGGGGTTTTAATTGAAATTATACTTACATTGTGGAAGTTTGGACTTAAGAGTGTTTAATACATCTGGTTTTCTGAGATCGTCAAGTTTAGGTGCTCGAACATAATTTCCAGGAGACGCTACAGCTTGCAATTCAGTAGGGTCGGCCTTTCCTGTGCCAATAGTAAAGATCTGTGTACCGGCATTCTTCAGAGCTGTTGCTTCCTGTATAAAAGCCGTAGGTTGGATATCTGTCTTTGTGTCCGTAACTAAAATGATCTTATTTGGAGCATCAGGCCGGTCTCCACTACCTGGTGTAAATACTTGGGTTCTTACTAAATTCAGACCGCTGCCTCCATTGGCCTTTCTATTTTTCAGTTTAGGGTTAGTCTTGCTGAGGGCTTTAGATAATTTATTTTTATCACTGTACTTGGTTAAAGGAAACACGAGGGTACCTTTAGTGCCATAATTAACAAGAGCGACTCTTACATCTCCATTATCAATATCAGCTTCGTCTAACATGTTATCCAAGAACTTTAGAAATGTAGCTCTGAATGGACGGTTCTTTACATTCTTAGACAACTGAAACACGATAGCGATATCGGCCTTGCGACTTGCTGTTGCTGAAAAGTAAAGCGGGATCAATGCATTGTTAAATGTAACAAATAAATACAGAATGAACGTAATCATTTTACCTTAATTTATTTTTACATGGCGTGTCTATTAGTATCCATGAACATTCCTAACAATAATAATATTGGTACATATCTGTCACAATATATATTAAATGGTTAAAATAGATTATTCAAAAGTTAGATAGAATCAGTATTAGTGCTTACATAAATAAATATTTATGTGAAAAAATAAGGGTATAAGTAAACCTATATTCTATTTTAACATTACAGTAAAACAGGAACAAAGAAATGTATAGATTTTAAAGAATGCTCTACCTTATTCGTCTATTAAACATCACGCATAATTAAACAAAAAAGGAGATGGCCCAGCTGATTCTATATTCTAGCAATATATAGATAAAGATAAAAGCTACCCGAATCAACTTTTAGAAAATGTCTACGCGCCCCCGTCTAATCTAAGAATGGGTTTAATCCATTCAATATGTTTTCACTAATGTTACTACTATTAAGGATTTACGTCCGTGCCAACGATATTTTGAGCGAATCGGATAGCAGATTTATTCATTTTAATTTTTAAATGACTATTAATTGTTTATTTATTTTTTCGAGTGATGCATTGCTTATTCTGTTGCTCGCAACACTTGAACGGGGCCACCTAGTATGCTTCAAAACGTTAGAATCGCTAAGTTATCTATTGTTAGAATATAACAATAGATGGGCCACCCCCCTGAAACACAAAAGGGAAGCATCGAGTGCACAAGATAAAAATGATAATGTATAGTTTAGAAAGAGAGGAAATCAGAAGGCAAAATTGTGAATAACAAAAATAATTCAAAATGCTAGAGAAGTGCAAGTAGGAAATTGATCCAAATGATTCATGAATAAATGATGTTGAAAAAGAACAAATTCTGAAAAAATACAGCGAAATTTGTAACATACCATTTTATCTAGACTAGAACAATAAACTATCCGTATAATGTTAAATATTTCTTATGCTAATAATTTATACCCACCAGGTAGTCCAGCCCCACCTGGTCCGCTTCCACCAGGTCTAGAAAATCCTGGTGTACCGGATCCAGGAGTCCCACGACTAGGAGTTCCTGTTTCTGAAGTTCCCCGTCCAGTCGATCCCGGTGTTCCGCGTCCAGTAGATCCTGGGGTTCCTCTTGCAACAGATCCCGGTGATACAGGTGTACCACTGCTTGTTCCGCGTCCACTAGTTCCAGGTCCACGTCCACCAGTTCCACCTGTGCCACTGCCTGTTCCACTTCCACCAGCACCAGCACCACGGCTTGATCCACGTCCACCAGTTCCAGATCCACGTCCACCAGTTCCAGATCCACTTCCACCAGCACCACCTGCACCACCACCAGTCGAAGACCAGCTTGATCCACGTCCACCAGTTCCAGATCCACCAGCACCTGAAGACCAGCTTGTTCTACGGTCGTCAGAACCAGGGCCTCCAGTTCCACCTGCACCACCGGAAGACCAGCTTGATCCACGTCCACCAGTTCCGGGTCCACTTCCACCAGCACCACCCGAAGACCAGCTTGATCCACGTCCATCAGTTCCAGATCCACTTCCACCAGCACCACCTGAAGACCAGCTTGTTCTACGTCCTCCAGTTCCAGATCCACTTCCACCAGTTCCAGATCCACTTCCACCAGCACCACCTGCTCCACCTGATCCACGTCCACCAGTTCCAGGTCCTCCAGTTCCACCTGCACCACCGGAAGACCAGTTTGATCCACGTCCACTAGTTCCTGGTCCACTTCCACCAGCACCACCCGAAGACCAGCTTGATCCACGTCCATCAGTTCCAGATCCACTTCCACCAGCACCACCTGAAGACCAGCTTGTTCTACGTCCTCCAGTTCCAGATCCACTTCCACCAGTTCCCGATCCACTTCCACCAGTTCCAGATCCACTTCCACCAGAACCACCTGCTCCTGAAGACCAGCTTGTTCTACGGTCGTCAGAACCAGGGCCTCCAGTTCCACGCCCACTAGTTCCTGATCCTTGGCCCTGTGATGACCAGCTTGATCCTGGTGTACCACTATTTCTAGAAGACCATCCAGAACCCTGATTAGATCCAGGCCTGCCACTACTGGACCAACTGGTCGTTCCTCCTCCCCATGACTGGTCACCTAAACAATTGAATAATATGACGCACAGTGTAAGATACACCTTTTATATTCTGATAATTTATGGCTATCCATTGTGACTAGACATCTTATAGTAATGCGCGAGGTCAAGATATTTTTTTATACTGTGTTCCTTCCAACACTTAAAATCAATAAAGTATTATCCCCACTTCAACGAGAGATCATCTATTATGTCAATATTTGATGCCTATAATTGATGCAACAGATTCATATATGATGTGAAAGGGTACACATATTTAAGAAACAAATGTATGTTTTAAATAATAGGTATGATTACTTAAATTAAAAAAAAGAGGTAGAAACTACGACTAATACTATAAACACACAGACATACACTTTCGTAACACTATTATGCAATACAAAGGGTCGATGAAGAGGAACACACTCTTGCATTTAACAGAATTAATAATTAAAAAGCATGCTTTGATATATGTGCGTTAAGCTATGCAATAGAAGCATTCGCCAGCATAAATTATGCGTTTGTGTCGCACACCTGCTTGAACGGGTGCCATATTAACTGAAGGCTTCGGGGATTGCGTCGGCGGCGGTGGCTGCGTCGCTTTCGGGATCATCGCTACTGCAGGCGGATTCACTATATTACCAAAAGAAACAAAATACGTCTTAACAAAAATGGTATGCCTTTCAATTAGAAACTTGTTTTAGCAATGCTGCATTTTAATTAAATACCAATGATATTTTTTCCATTAATATGTTATATCATATCAATTAATTTGATAATATTCTTACAAAAATGAAAATAAATTCATGGTATATTGATAATTAATTATTATTTTGTGTAACCTTTTTATGAACTGTTTCCAGGACTTACGTGACATAAATCTTCCATGGACAGCTTCCACTACCTTTTGATTTTGGAATTGTGCATACGTGCCGACATTAGCATAATAGCCTGGTGTACTGACACGGCTTAATTCAGTTTCGTCTGCGTTTCCCACGCCTATGGTAAACATTTCCACCCCCGATTTTTTTAGATTTGAGGCGATCTGTAAAAACTTTTGTTGATCAACATTTGTTTTTGTATCCGTAATGAGAATAACACCATTTGGGGCATCGGGTCTATCACCCCTTCTTGCTGAGAACACATCATTTTCAATTATTTCCAAAGCTCTTCCAGCATTAGCTTTATTAGATTTAATTTTCTTTGGATTTATTTTAGATACAGCATTGGTAATTTGTTCCATGGAATTATAAGTATCAAGGTAGAACTCCGCCTTAGCTTGAGCACCATAATTTACAAGGGCAACTCTTGTTTTACCAGAGTCGATGTGTGCATTTTTCAGCAGGTCTTTTATAAATGGAATAAACTTTTTGCGGAGAACAGCATTCCTTATTCGCTTTGAAAGTTGGAAGACAATGGCAATGTCTGCTTTATCGCTTGCTGCAACATCGAAGAAGAAAGACAGTTATATTGAGAGCAAGATATTTCATATGTAAACTTGTATGTGGACGTTTAACATTAAACATATTTAAATTCTAAGGTATCTAAACGATTTAGAAAACTAATCGTGGCTTTTGTGAAATTTGTAAAAAAAAAAATAAATAAATAAATCACAGAAGTACTCACTTGATAGAGAGTTACCAGAAACTCTCGAGTTAGATACACCTGTAATATGCCAATCGGATTTAAATTTGTAATCAAATGAAATCCACAGTGGTATGTTTAACATATGAAACAATTGCTATGAATAGATAAATTAGTAACTGCTAGTAACTGCGCTGAAAGATAGCACTGCATTTATACTGATTCACCTACAAATAATTTTACGCTTTATATAAGTTGCTCCAATATAACAATACGCCAATATCAACAAATATTCTCTCCCATTGTGTATATAATAATGCAATTTGTTCGAATGCACGAATTTGAAAATCAAGTAATTTTGGACATGGAATTGTGCCCCAAGCCCAATTCATCCTGTTGTTCTTGGGGCGACAGTTTTCGAAAAACCATAAAGTTTCGCCAATGTAAATAGCATATGATCGACACAACTGTGTGCATCGATTGTTGTTCTACGGGGCGACATTCTTTGAAGAAAACCCAAGGCTCCGCCAATTTAACTTGGCATACTTGTTCTTTTGATATTAGTGCATAGATTGGCGGAGGAGGGGGGGGGGTCGGTTATCGGGTGGTCGAATGAACTAACGCGTGCTCTTTAGATCATATGGTCTATTATTGAGTTTCGCAGTTGCTTTGCTACACTTGTAGTTCTACGTGACAAGGATGGTCTTTCTCCGAGTCATCTGATTTCCTCCCCCTACGTACAAGCGAATTTGTGAAATAGATTGCTACTATGTGTTAGTCCCGAAAAAACCTAGAGTGGATGTTAAACCCCATGGTATCACATTTGGTTCCTTGTCCATGGTACTTGTTAATTAAAGTGACATATCGAAAAAGAAATTTTGTTGTTGATCTTGCGGTCAAGTTATTAGCCTATACAAAAATAAACATGCTGTTTTGGTTATGGCCCGTGTTGTTATTAAAATCAATAGTAAATACATGGTGGCTATCTCCTATAAATTAAAAGCAATATACTCAGTCTCTATTAATAACATATCGAGAATAGTCGCATTTACAATTGCTCTACAGACTTGAAATGTACGCATTGTACTTTTGACATGGTTTCTGGAAATAAAATAAAACGATGATTAATAAAGGTAAACGATAGCTGTGTTGATATACTTCAAAATGGTCCGAAAATACCTTCGGTGTGCGGTTAATAATTTAGCTATATGCTAGTAGAATAATTAAATAAACATTGCACCTGAACTTAAAGCCTGGGCGTAGTTATATTCAGGCGGGAGCTCTTTAGGTGGCCCTTGGGCTGATTTTATCAAACGTTTGGATTCATTCTGGGTTGCTTTTAGTCTTTGTGTGGATTGTGCTGCACTTCCTTTTTGTATATTGTCAATTTCCTTTGGTTTTGCTTTAGCCTGGCGTTCGTTGGCGTTGGATTTCTGGATTTCCTTTGGTTTTGGCGTAGACTGTGCTGCACTTGACTTTGATATGTGATCAATTTCTTTTGGTTTTGACTTTGGTTTTGCCTGCGATTCATTTTTTACTAGTTGAGTCGGTTCAGTTGTGGTAGCTATATTTGTTGGTGGTTTCATATTTACTAAGAAAGAAGAATACATTTTAAAACAAACTGTGTGATGCTTAAACTCTAAAACCTAGCATCTGGATAAATATTTACATTATTACTGGACCAGTGTTCATATTAATTTACAGGTGTATTTTTTATAATGAAGTATTACAGGAATTGTGTGCATACATACATGAATGAATGATCCATTGAAATTGATGAACTTACATGCCGGAAATTTACTCCTTAATGTATTGATAAGGTTCGGAGTTGTAAAATCTGCATATTTGTTGATTAGAGTTATCTGCCCTGGAGAGGATACTTTGGTCAGTTCGCCTTCATCGGCTTCAGCTATTCCAATACTATATATCTTTGTCCCAGACTTTAGCAAACGTGATGCTTCTCGGTAATATTTTTTCTTGCCTTTACGGGCTTTTTCATTCGTTATCAGTATGACAGCATTTGCAGCATCAGGTCGATCACCACGGGCTTTTTTAAACACACTGTTCCTCAACAGCGCAAATGATTTCCCAATGTTAGATTTTTTTGATGTTACCTTTGGTAGTGTCAGACCTTCTATTATTGTTTGCAGTTGATTATTATCATTTGGATTACTAAGGAATAATTCAACCTTCCCTGCAACTCCAGAAATAACCAGTGCGACCTTTGTGTTATTGTTATCTATATTCCCGAGTAATCGTCCAACAAAAGGGAGAAGGTAGTTCTCCAGATCTGTCTTGCTTATCTTTGTAGATAACTGTAGGAATATAGCCATATCTAGTTTGTCTCCGACTGTAAGTAGAAGACATTGTTTAAAGATGGTGCATGTTGGTTGATAGTTGTGGTGAAGCTTCATGCAAACTTTATGTCTTCGAAATACCACAAAATTCCATAAGAAATTGATCGGATACAGAAGTAAAATGAGCATTGATATTTAACATTTTGTTGTATAATACTTACCCATCTTAGCTGGCCTACCAACTTTAACATCACTTTGAATAGATTCTGTAAGTTATAAATATCAATACACAGATAAAAGTATTTTATTAAATGTTATTTTTGAAGAGACCGGATCAATGTTTTATAAATAATTGTACTATATTATTATGCTAAATAAGTTTTAAAAACACTTTAAATGAAAAGTGTTATGAATTAATACAAAACGTATTGGCCAATAATATTGCAGAAAGATCTGTAGATGCAGTGGATGTAATTGTAGAGTAAACCACAGTGAAATGACACAATTTGTTGATATCAAGCTTCCGATAAATAAAGATGTTCTAATCAATAAATAAGAACACCATATGCATGCTCCTGTGATCTAAAGTCATCTTGTTTGTAGGAAAGCAAGTGTTGATAAGTCATCTATGAAGCATTTTTGTGAAACAAGAAAAGAACAATCGAGAGGGCAATGTAAGGTGAGATAATAATTATCTTGATGCTTTGTTACATACTTTGATGAAACTAGAGGTGTAGCTACAATAACTCGAAGAGATCCAAATATAGACGAAATTGTCCTCGGAAATCAAATAACATACGCCATCTATGCAAAGTACAGTAAAAAGCAGTTGTGCGTTAATTTTCATCCGTGCTAAGATGAAGATTTGTTGGTATTACCAACTGCTGTAATTAGATTAAAGTGGGGTGTTCTTGTACACTTCGGTATAGAAAATGAAGACCGGTGATAACAAAGAGCAATATGGTGCAATTGATTTCATAAACAGTGAATGTGAAGAATATGGCAACTGGTATGTTTTGTGCATAAGAATGAAAGCAGCATATCTCCCACCTGAATCTTTGGAATGATCAGAATGGTGATTAAGCGGCTTTTTTGTAGATTCTTGGTATATCTCGGGTTTCTCAGATTCTAATGTTTTCGAA